GACCTTCGGTCGAGCTCCCTACGGGGCCACGAAACGTGTGAAGGGGTGTACCATGGCGTACCGAAATGGGGATGTCGCCCACATGCGGGCTGCGTCACTGGGGCCTTCGGTGGAGCTCACTTTGAGGCCACGAGACGTGCGAGGGGTGTGCCGAAAAATGGGTGACGCCCACAGGCGAACTGCACAACTGGGGCCTGCGGTGGAGCTCCCTCCCTGTGGGGCCACGAAGCGTGTGAGGGGTGTGTCGAAAAGAGCGTGACACCCACATGCGAATTGCAACACTGTGACCTTCGGTCGAGCTACCTATGGGGCCAAGAGGCGTGTGAGGGGTGTGCCGAAACGGGCGTGACGCTCACATGTGAACTGCAACACTGGGACCTTCGGTCGAGCTCCCTACGGGGCCACGAAACGTGTGAAGGGGTGTACCATGGCGTACCGAAATGGGGGTGTCGCCTACATGCGGGCTGCGCCATTGGGGCCTATGGTGGAGCTCCCTATGGGGCCACGAAACGTGTGAGGGTTGTGCGGAAATGGGTGTGTCGCCCACATGCGGGCTGCGTCACTGTGGCCTGCGGTGGAGCTCCCTGCAGCGATTCGAAACGTGTGAGGGATGTGCCGAAAAGAGGGTGTCGTCCACTTGGGGGCTTCTTCACTGGGGCCTTCGGCGGAGCTTCCTGTGGGGCCACGAAGCGTGTGAGGGGTGTGTCGAAAAGAGCGTGACACCCACATGCGAATTGCAACACTGTGACCTTCGGTCGAGCTACCTATGGGGCCAAGAGGCGTGTGAGGGGTGTGCCGAAAAGGGCATGACACCCACATGCTAACTGCAACACTGTGACCTTCGGTGGAGCTCCCTATGGGGCCACGAAGCGTGTGATGGGTGTGCCGAAGCGGGCGTGACGCCCACATGCGAACTGCGCCTTCGGGCCCTTCGGTGGTGCTACCTATAGGTCCACGAAACGTGTGAGGGGTGTTCCGAAGCGGGCGTGACGCCCACACCCCACATGCGAACTGCAACACTGGGACCTTGGGTGGAGCTCCCTATGAGGAGGCCACAGGACGTGTGAGGTGTGTGCCGAGATTGTAGACTGATCCGGAGAGCAGAGGCAGGGAGTGGAGGCAGGAGGAGGAGGGGGAGGAGGAAGAAAGGAATGAAGGAAGCAGAAGGACGGAGTGACGCGGGGCGCTGTCTCTTCAAAGCGAGGACCCAACACCACAGGATGGTTGGTTATTGTGAGCAGCCTCGAAGCATATGCGCTGGAGCAGGGTCAACTCGAGAAGCTCCCTGGCATCATAGGCACCGGATGCGACCGTCGAGCCAAGAAACATCCCAAGGTCATAAGCACTAGCAGGACACCCGAACCAAGAGAACCAGGGCAGCATCGTACCAAACAAGTCTCTGGATTCACAGACGCCGTAAAGGGAAAATCAACACAATCCTTGAATTTGCATGCGCCAGGACAAGTGTTTAATTAAGAAGCTTCTTGAGTCATGGGTACCGCCTGTAGAGCCCAGCTGGGAAATTCTTGGGAGGCAGGCCTAAGTGCGGTTCAGAGTCAGCAAACCGAAAACCATAACGATATGCATCGGAACAGTCGAAGCACGACGATTCCCGAAACCATCGGCATTTGAATAGAATCGAGTCGTCGGCACTTGAAGAGGCGAACCAGCATTCCCAGAGTCAGATGCTCCTGAAGAGCTCGGAACCAAAGTCACCAGCAAGGATTTTGTCGAAACAACCCGAATTCCAAATCCCGTGGCCAGGAACATTTTGGAATCATAAGTGCTTGAAAAGCCGAATCGAATGATGTTTCAGTACCATAAGCACTGGCACATGGTCAGACATCTACATCTTCATACACATATATATATATGTATATGTCCTGGGATCACTATGCAGTCCGCTGGAAGCTCCTTAAATACATTCATCGAAATCGCTGGTTGTGGAATTATGTACGTGGTTATGTATCCACACCTAGAACACCATCGTTCGCACTAGCAGTCTGATTCCAACTCCCGATTTCATTCGTAAAGGAATCTGGACTTGAGACTTGAGGCAACTCATGAGTAAGCTAAACATTGAACTTTTTGCCGACGCCGAATCCTAAGCAGAAGCCGAATCTACACAGAAGTATACGCCTCAACTCAATGTAAGCCCGTCCCCACCCAATCCTGAAGCAAACCGAACCGATCCCATTTCAACCTGGCCTGGCCCTCCCTGGCGCTGGCCTTGTCTGGCCTTGCACGCCCTGGACCTGCTGTGGCCCGCCCACTCCAGACCCAGCCCACCCTGTCCAGCCCAGCAATCGAGAGCCAATCCAGACAGGGTGCCCCCCCCCCCTCGCTTGCCACCCCTGCGGAGAGAGGTCGCCTTCCCGTCCACCGTCCAGGGCGCCGCCGCGGACCTGGTGCGCGCCCTGCTGCAGCGGGACCCGGCCGAGCGGCTGCCGATGCGGCCGGGCGGCGCGGCCAACGTGCAGGGAGAGCCGGGAGGGCGCGCCGTCCTGCATCCCGACGGCTTGCTGGACTGTTCCTCCAGTCCGCTCCCCGTCTGCATTTCCCCGCCCCCCCTGCCATGG